ACACTGCCTGAGGGACAATCCCTCTCATGACCCAGATGAAGGTCCCCATATGACACCTCCACACTTGCAAATCCCTCTCTCAGAATTCAGCTCCCAATTTTCAAGCAACTGTTGCTAGAGATTTTCAGGGAGTTCTTCAATGCATTTACTGAGCCAGAGACAGGGAGAATTGAGACCAGAAAAGGGAACTAAAACAGGATGTCAGTAATCTGTTAAGACGAGAAGGGGAAAAATGAGAGTAGATAGCATAAGAATGCAAATAAAACAAACACCCTTATTTCTCGTTTTAAAAAATTAACATCTTTTTAACCATGACTCGAGCACACCTATACCCTGAACCAATGGTGAGTTATATGAATGGGATCAGCTTTGCAAATGGTTATCTAATATCATGAAACAAGCCCACATACACAATCCACTGCCATGATTAAACTGGTGGCGTTATTAGTGGCATTATTGATAGAAAGCAGAGTCCAAGCACATGGGATCATTTGTAGCTATATAACCCCTGCTGATGCATGTGTTTCCTCAGAATGTTTTCTGGAGAGCAGAGAGGCCAGCAGAGAACCAACAGGCTCAGTCGAAATGTTCTGATCCATGGCCAACAGTCGCACTTGTCCATGACCTCTTTTGAATTCCCTTTAAGGATTTCAGGCCACTGTCAGTGTCTCTAACTAGGCTGCTAGAAGCACAGAAGCAATGCATCTGCTGATCCTTTGAAATCCCAATAATAGGACAATTAGCTGCAAAGAAAACCATACTTGCATAGCTCTGCCCAGTTTAAAAATTAGGGTCTGGGCTTTGTGCTGGACAGAAAAGGCAGCAAGGGCAGCTGGAACCCTGCAATACGCATCTAACAAACTCCTCGGATAATTGTGACACATTAAAAAGTCAAAGCAATCACAGGTTACAATTACCTCAAAGGCTCCTTCCAGATCTCTTTTCATACATTGCTCTCTGATCAAAATTATAGATTCTGTAATGAGCATTTGTTAGGCTTCTGCAACAGTTTGGGCACAACCAACTCTCTGTTGTTCACGTTTCAGGTAAGACAGCCTCCCTAGAGAGTGGGTCTTCAACCCCAAGTTAATGAATCCTCCTGTTTCTGTCTACATCATCACCCTATTTTATTATATTTGCCTAATATAATCATATCAATTCAATGTATTTGTATTTGATCTCATACATTAAACAGTATTACTATCTGTTCAATGGAGGCATGAATCAGGTACTTTTGATATGCTAATTAATAATTACAGAGAAGGGAAATATCTTTCCCAGAACTACTGATTTAATGATCACTGTGGTGAATAAAATCATTGAACTTAAGTTGTGGCCCCCAAGTTTGTACTCTTTCTGCTATTGCATATGCCTGCTAAAGACTGACATGACTCTTTGCCTTAGCCATCTCTATCTAATGGCTAGTCCAGAGCGCAGAGCGAAGACTCTTAACACACATGTGTGGTGTCCCCACTACCCCTGTTTCTCTGTTTTCAGATCCTGCACTCATAAAATATTGGGCTTTGGTACAGGTATCCATTCACCTACTTGGGCCCCCACTACCCACAGGTTCTGACATGCTAGTGTGATCAGAAAGTGTTGAATGAACTCAACTGAACCTAAGAAAATTGCCAACTCAGTGGTATCTTCTCACGCGTGATGTATCATGTGAAGCATCCTCTTAGACTTTATAGTCCTTGGACAAAAAAATTGAGACTGAGAAAGTCTGCCTGCATGGTAGACCTTGGACTAGAACTTGCACCTGTCTTTTCTTTGTCTTCATTATATTTCCAATATCAAGGTCTCCATCTACTATTTCTACTTGGTGAAGTCCTAGGAAAGCTTCTATTTTTCTTTCTGACAATCCTCTGAAGAGATTGTAGTAAATTTAGTTGTAATTGAGCAAATCGGAAAGAGACAAAATGAGCTCAAATACATTAATGTATAAATAAATTGTAGCACACCCACACAATGGGATAATGCTCAGTTAAAAGAAATAAATTAGTAGTTCATGAAATATCATAGGTGGACCTTCAATGAATTAAGCTAGATAAAAGAAGACAGACCAAAAGCACGATATATTCCTTGATTGTATTTCCATGGCATTACAGAAGAGGAAAAATAGTAAGATGAAAACTGACCAGCAGCTGCCAAACATTGGTGGAAAGAGGAGCTGACTGCAAGATAGCAGCTGAGAGGAAACCAGGTTCATGATGTTTTTAAAGTATGGATGGTGGACACCTGACTAAAATCATTTATCAAAACTCGTGTATCAGGAAATCATAAAGAACATAAGCTTTAGAAAAGTTAACCAGAAGATTGAAAAACCTCAGGAAAGGTTGCTTATCATGATAATTATTTAATTATATTACACATGTATAATGTAATCTCACAGAAGAAGATGAGAGGAAAGAAGAGATGTGAGCAACTCTAGGAGAGAACAGGCTGGTTATTATAAGGCTAAAGACAAAGACACCAGACGAAAAACACTGTGCTCTAGCTGGTAATTTTATCATAGGGAAAAATGCTAGCTGTAAGGACCACTGGAAGGGCTCTCCACAAATAAAGAGTAATTACCTCCACCTGAGCTAAACTTGGCCTTTTCTCCATATGCTGATACATATAGAGCTGGCTGAGCTATTTCCTTTTCCCTCCAATTGGCTCTAAGCAATATGAGTTGGGCTGGATGAGGTAGTGATGTGAAATCTGTGAAGCCAGGGGATAGCCCTGCTTCCTCTCCTGTCTTCCTTTTAGTGGTCCAGTCTAGCAGGATTACACCCAGTGCTCCAGGATTGTCAACTGGGTTTGAATCTCAGGATAAGAGGCTATGACTTCCCAGGGCAGAAAACATTTGCATGTCATAACTGAAGCACCAGGGCCTAAACATTAAATGCTACCTCAATTGTGTTATGCACACTGGTTTTTCTGCACATCTTCTCTTGGTATATTGCAGAGGTGTTTTCTGGCCGCTTAGCTAACTCAGCTCACAGTACTCATGTAATCCCCATGAATCTCACTGTCTCTCATCCTTGATCCACTCCCTTCTTGATGAATTAGTAAAATCTGGATTAGTCCCTGGGTCAGGGCTTTTGTTCCATGAACACTTATCTGGTCCAGACGCAGAACCCTTTTGCTGCCATGACAGTAAGTATATCTTAGTGTCTTTATTCTCACTGTGGGTTTCAGGGAGTTGGTGGATTGGAATCAACTCATCAACATCTCAATAACATTTCCATGGGTTTACAAATATAAACCTCCTGGACTGTGATGAGGATGGGAAAAGCGATTTAAATATTGGCAATCCTTACTTGTATAGGAGGGCAGGACAAATAAGTAAGCAAATAATAGACAGGGGAAGTCTGTGTTTCAATGTCAGGAGAATAAAGTTCAATGTCAGGAGAATTGAAGATTAGCATGAACACTATGGGCTAAAAGTATAGATCCCCACTGCATAAATATGGGCTGTGCATAGAGACATCTGTACAAAGAATATACTTTTGAATATAAGAATATAATGCCATATTTGATGAAATAATGTCAAATGTAAGAATGTAATTATAAAGGGGAGGGGCAAGTAGTGTTACAGTAGAGAAAACGGGCAAACATATTCTCAGCAAGGCAGTCAAGATTAGTATCAACAGTCTTAGCTCAGCTAAAGGTAGGTGCCCATGATATTAAGTGGTTAGAGGGGTGTTCTAAGTGAAACGTGGTATGCTGAGTTAAATTCCCACTATGTCCTGACTCAGATAAGCCCCACTGTCATTTAGAGAGCTTTAGACAAAAACTGGCAGTCTTTTGTGGCTATTTCTTAACTGGATTTTTGATTTAACAAAAGCGTGCTTCTTTCTCCTCAATCCCTCCGACGTCTTTCTTTCAAGACAGAAACAGATATAGAAGTCAAAGGAGGGTTATTTTCAAATGTCTATGTGATTAAAAGGGAAAAAATAATTCAGTTTTGAAGTTCTTTTAATTTTGTCTCTGTGCGTTTTACCTGTATCATGAATTTCAATTTTCTACTTAAATAAGGAACTTCGATTAATCACCTAAAGCAGCAAGAAAGTTATTCAATTAGTATAAAATGATTCAAGTTCAAATTAGAGGATTAATTTTCAGACTTATGAAGGAAAGATAGAGTGCCTGAGTTAGGAAGTGTAGACAAAAGTCTCTCAAACTAGGATGAAATGAATTTCTGATTCAATTATTTGATTAATCTATTCCAGAAATGATATACAATCAGAACCTCTAACCTGCAGGATGGATTGCAGATAAACTGGGAGCTCACCTTAACTACTATCATCATGATTTGCCTTAATATAACACATGCCTTTACACCAAAGGCATTTAAAAATGGACAGACAAGTATTCTGAAATACGTACGACTTCTGATGAAAGGACTGAGACAACCAGAACTAAGAACCCAGGTAATGCGTTTCTGAGTGGGTTGCTGGTAACTACACCACAACGAAAAGCAGGCAAATATATCACCTTGCCTCATCTGTGCAGTTCTGGGAAGGAGACTGCAAATAAATGTGAACTGTCCAGCCTGCCTGTAATCCCAGCACTTTGGGAGGCTGAGGCAGAAAGATTGCAACTTAGCAAGATCCTGTTTATAAACAAACAAAACTGTGACAGGGGATGTACCTCGGTGGTAGAGCACCTATAGGTTTCATCGCCAATGCCATCAATAAAATAAAATAAAGTTTTAAAATGCTCCTTTAGACATTTCCTGGACGTGTGGCTTTGGAAGACGATTTCCACAGAATCCATCCTATCTCTCTTTTATCCCATCTAACTTTCTTTCCTCCTTTCTTTACATCTAGCCCAACATCATTTCTCTATTCGTTCTGCATGGTTTTGATTTTTCACTTGTCCCGTAGCGCATTTTTGTGCCGCGTCTTGCTGGAGCAAACTGCCACCCCAGGAAAGTTTCCTCTGTTCGGATCAGCCGGTGCAGAGCGGCCGGATTCCTACTCCTTTCGCTCCTGGCTTCCGGAAGCAGGCCCCGCTACTCCTCTGCATTCTCACAACAGAGGGCGCCCAGGCAGCGCCCCGGGTTGACCAGCCACCCCTACTCTCTCCTCGGCCTTGGAGCCTGAGAAGCCCTAAGCAGCGGGGGAGAATGCGCCCCCAGCCACGCACCTCGGGAGCCCGCGCTGATGCCCAGTGAGTGCGCGCGCGTGGGGGGTGAGGGGGGGCTCCCTGTGGGCTGCAGACCGGGGCTGGAGCCCTGCACCTCCTCCCACTTTTCCGCACTGTCCTTTTCCTGAGGTCCTACTGTGATGCAGGATCTTCTCTGCGCAACCGAAGGGGAAGGGCGCCCCCACTCCAGCTGGAGAGACTGAGGGGTGCTCAGCGAAGAGTGTAGGGGCCTTGCGAGCCGAGCAGCTGGAGCTGGAGGGCTGGCGACGCAGAGCCGAGGTTCCTGCGGGACTCTGGAAACCTCTTCCAGCTTTGCAGTTGCTCTAGGAACCAATCGTGCGCTCCAGCACCCTCAATGACCCTTGCTGGTCTCCACCTCTTCTCTCTTGGCCCTCCGCTCACCTGTCCCCGCGAGGCACCTGTCTGCAGGGCTCCAGGGCTGCCACAGGGCTGTCGCAGTGGATGTGAGTAAGGAAAAAGGCATCCAGCTCTCTCCAGGTCCTGGCCGGTGTGCGCTGTGATCTCATTCTGGGGTCTGGGCAACCCAGGCTGTGCGTTCACCCAGTGGTTAGAAAGAGCCCCTAGTCCAGGGAGACAAAGGTGAGATCCTGTTTGTCTGGGATGCTTGTAGCTGTTACAAATGCCCTTTAAGTCCTTGGAAAGTCCCAGAATTCTAACATATCTCTATTTCATCTCTATTTTATCATGCCAAAAATACAAGTGACAGTTCTTTTAAAAAGTAACGTCACTTCCAGTTTCTATTATATATGATTATTGTGTTAATGCCTCCATAACCTTTCCCCAAATTTAATCCCTCTATCTCTGATGGTGACAACTTGAAGATAGAATAATTGTTGCTCATCAAAATATAAAAACTTTTAGGTGACATCTAAGGAAAATTATGACAGATGGTATTTTCTGGAAGGGGCTACACCAATTTCATTACCCCACATGCTCTGTTATACACCTGTCATATTTCCACAGAAAAGCTGGGCTGCCTTCCCTTCTCTTAATCTGGTCAGGCTGAGATTGTGATAGAAGTGATATGTGACTCCCAGAGTTATGTGACAGAAGACAATGTATGTTCTGTCTCACTCTCTTAGACACTTGCTTTCGAGTTCAGTCACATTGCCATAACACTGAGCTCCCAGCTTACCCAGAGTCACTTAAAATGTGGTTTTTCAGCTCCCTGGGAAGCTGCTGGTGTGTGGAGCAGATCAGGGCTGTTCAACACAGCCTCTTCATCTTAAGCAAAATAGTTGATTGTCGTTGTTTTAAATCTCTAGGTTTGGAAAGAGATTGCAAGGGTGATAGAAAATGCATACCTTTACTCTTACGTAAATCTTTATAAAGTGGAGTGATTCCAAAATCCACTTTCCAAGCTAATGCACAGAGAAGAGGCTTTTCACCCTTTGTTACTAGCTGAAAGAAAGTATGAGGAACTCTCCTAGCTATCATCAGAGGAGCCTGGCTATGGGCTTACACGTAAAACCAAGGTTTGTGCTCCAGTATGCAACTAACCACTTGAGGTCTCTGATGGGAAAGATGAACCAAAAACCTTTTACCTGCTGCCCTTCCCACCGAAGCCAGGGTTCTTCAAGAACCTGTGGACGGCCATCCACATTCCTCTCTGAATGATTTCTACAGATTTGCAGGATCCTTTGTTTAAGATTTCCTCACTGTGTTCTGTTAACCTCCTTTCTGCCTCAATAAGTGAGTGAAAAGTCCTCCAGGGCAGCGACATCATGTTAAAAAGTCAAAATTTAAAGAGATCCTGATCCAAGTACAAAGCTCAAAGTGACAAGAGAAAAGAAAGTCGGTGGATTTGAAGGTTAAAAGCAAAGTTGATTTTGAATAAATACAAGTTAATTGCCTCATGTTATTCTTTACACAGTGTGAAATATTTTCCATAGAAACTTGGTGAAAATGTAGCTAAATATTTTTCTTCCCATAAAGATTAGAGCTTCCATTTTCCCAAGCGTATTGACCCCAATTATGCTTTAAAGAGGCATCTGAGATTCCCAGATGGATTAGGTATTAATTTATTTAGATCTAAAGCTTTTCTAATGCCTGAATTCAGTTAAATGAGTAATGAGATGTAGATTAATCTGTTTATTACAACATTATGTTTAATCTCTACTTTCCACTTACCTCTGTCAATAACAAATGTGAATATTACAAATTTTCAAACCAACTCCTTTGTCAATCGTGTTGCAAAAGATTTAGTTCAATTTATAGTTTTAGTTCATTGATCACTACATTGCTTCCAGAGACTACATGGGTAGACTGAAAATTAGTAACATTCGGTGAGAAGGACAGGATACTCTGAGCAGAAGTAGGCATAGTCATATAATTTGTAAAATAAATCAGCCAACCATGCATGAGAAACATGTACCCGAATCACTGGCCTCTCACCATTGGAGTGGCCATCGTGCTAGTGGAAGTGACCACCTTTCATCTCCACAGTCACAATGGTGGCACACGCCTACACCCCCACTTCCACCACCACTCTGCTCCAGTCTCTTCTACTGAACTCTTTCCAGGCTGGATTCCATTAATTCAGAAGCACCACAAAGAGATGCACACAGGATTAAGATCCCAGCTTTGCTAGTCTTTTTACACTGTTGCCTATCACTACAACAGAAAAGCTGATGTCAGGTATATGTATAAATTAAAGAGCTTTATTGAACTCCTAGTGTGGAATGTTCTGGAACATAGCATCAGCTTCTGCTCTGCCTTAGTAATGGCTTTCTGATGTCATCACAGCATAGTGCACAACATCGCTGTATGGCCACATGCAAGAAAAGGAGACCTGTGCTAACAGGAAGAAAGGTTCAGGGGAGACTTCAGGATCACTTGCTACAAATCTTCTCCTGCAAGGGCAATTATTTATCCCTTCCGAGCCTGAGGCCTCCATAATTAATTACCTCCCATTAGACTCCAATTTTAAATACTCTACTACCACACTGGGACCACACCTCCAGCACATGGCCTTCTGGGGGACACACTCAAACTGTATATCATCTATACTTTTCCTTTAAAAAGGCATAAATTTATTTTTACTACTAACTAGTTACTTAATTATTTTGTGTAATGATGTATAAAAACCCTGCATGCTTTACTATTATCAGTAAGCCACTGTTGGGAACTTGTTATTTCCGGCCCCCTGCTATGTGTTTTTGTAGTTATTTTTAATTACTTGTAATAACAAGTTAGGTTTTAAACAATATTTGAAGAAAAATTATATTTGATACCTTAATTTGCAGATGTATTAACAGAATAATGATGAAATGAGTAACATGGTCACTTCTGGTGTAATTCTCCAGTGTGGACAGTAGATATTACCATTTTATTTTATTTCACTTACTCTTGTTGTGTACTTTCCATGCTTGATGGGTAGTTTGGCTTCATTTTGTTCCCTGTCACACAGTAGATGATGTAGTAAGAATGTGATTTTTTAAGTGAAATTCAACAAAACTCTTAGTTCCTAGTGGGTACCAATGAAAGTATCTTCTATATCTGACACTTTTAAATAAAAGTGATCATAGAAAGCCACAGATAGAAAAATATTCAGCATACTTAATCCATGCCAAATAAATGGTAGCCTTTTCCCCCGTTAAGAATATGCTTTAAAGTGTTGTCATTATCACTTGCAATTGGATATACATTTGTACTTTTTTAGGCATCACTAGATGTTAATCCTTGCTGACAAAATCGTCATTTACTAACTTGGAATTTATTTGAACTGACAGAGCACACAATATTCTTCCCCATCACTGTCACTACGGCTTTCCACTTAACTCTGGAAGAGCTTAACGAAGGGAAAGGGAATAATGAGGTAGAAAGGAAGACCACAAATGTAATGATCTGTAAAAGGCATTTTCCATTTTCCAACAATGCTGGTATGCAGTGCTTTTAAACTAAGAATATTTATCATTCTGCAGATAATATATCAAATACCTTTTAGCATATAACACACTCCAAATTAAATAAATACACATATATTAACAGATTTCAAATGAAAGAAATACATATTAACATATATAATATTAACACATTCCAAGTTAAAGGAAATAAATGCTTCACTCTTTAAAATCTTATTTTGAAAAGTATACAGGGCAACCATAAATGCTTATAATTACAGTATAGGGCTGATTATAGAGTGATAGCTTAGCTGTGTAAATTTTGAGAAGTAAGTAAAAGTCCTGCCTGAGAAAACCTGTATAAAATTTGGCAAATGCATTTCTTCTCCAAGTCATCTTCAATGTCAAGGCTAAGTTAGAGTTAGACCTGCCATTTCAATTTACAAATTACCTTCTCCAGTGGTGTGGCTGAATTTGGTTTTACCCATTTAATTCTTAACTTAAAACCTGATAAATGATTAATAACACTCACTTGACATAAATATCTCCCTAACACCAATATAGTCCCAACATTGACTATATATCACAAATTATAGGATATTAAAAATGAATTTTGCCTGGTGTGGTAGCTCATGCCTGTAATCCCAGCATTTGGGAGGCTGAGACAGGAGGATCGTTGCAAGTTTGAGACCTTCCTGGGCTACAAAGTGAGCTCAAGGCACTTGTGAGAATTGCATAGAAAGACCCTGTCTCAAAAAGTAAAAAAAAAAAAAAAAAAAAAATTTTTTGCAAAAAGGTCTCAATATATATACCTCCAAATTTTCAAATTGAGATTTCCATAGTCATAGTCAGATGCAGAAATATATATATTTTTGAGCTAACTAGATAAAGGTAGAAAATATCGTGGACAAGTAAAAAGAGTTGATTTCTAAAAATATATCTGAGAAGACATTCTTCTTCCCTTAAACTTTGATTCCTTACAACCTTGGAAGTAAATTCAGGGTATTCAAATGGTTTCACCCAGTTCCTAATGAAGTAGGTCATCCTGGGTCTACTCACAATAAATATGTCCTCGCTTTCACAAATATGACCTCCCTCAAGGAAAGAAAAAGAACCCAAAAAGTACTACTGTGTGATCCATCAACGAGAGCTCTTAGTGCA